AGAGAGAAAGAAAGAGAGAGACAGATACAGAGACAGAGAGGCATAAAAAGCACTACTTTCCACATTCACGTTAATGAGATGATTATTACTCCAAGGAAACAGTCTCACTGACTCATAATGATGGTCTATCGTTGCCTAACTTTGCAAAAATTCTCAGTGCAATTCTTGTTTACAGTCTTCCCTGGCTCAAAGGAATGTACACGAGTATGAATACGTACTTTGGGTGTGATGAAGGAACAAAAAAAAAGGGAAAAGTGAATGCTAAAAATAGAGCACAAGAACATGGAGAAAGACGAATAGGAAAACGGAACAAAGAATTAACAAAAAATATGGAAACCTGCCATATTTGAAGGAACTTACATACACACACACACACACACACACACACACACACACACACACACACACACACACACAGAGAGAGAGAGAGAGAGAGAGAGAGAGACGAGAGAGAGAGAGAGAGAGAGAGAGAGAGAGAGAGAGAGAGAGAGAGAGAGAGAGAGAGAGAGAGCAAAAACGAGAACGACATATACACACAAAAACAAAACAAAAATGCTATACCTCTAAGGTCGTATTAGCAACGAGAGAATAAGAACAAAGTTAAAACATTATGAAATCATATAAAACCGAAAAGTAAATTACACAACATTTAGGTGCAATTGAATTTGATTCACAATCACGTATACGATTAAAATGGCGCGGTATCACGTAATTCAGTAATATCAAATACAGTATTGGGTTATTCTTTTCTGTTCCTTTCTGTTTTATCCTGATTTCCTTTATTTTCCTTGCTTTTTCTTCTTTTCATTGTCTTATTTTCTTATTTTCTCTTCTTTTCTTCGTCTTATTTTCCTTCTCTTCTTTTCTTCTCTTGTCTATTTCTTTATTTCTTTCATATTTTTCTCCGTCTTCTTCTTCGCTTTCTTCCTCCTCCTCTCCCTCTCCTTCTTCTTTTTCTTCTTCCACTTCTACATCCTCCTCCTCTTCCTTTCCCTCTCTCTCCCTCCATTTCCTCTTCCTCTCCTTCTCTCCCTCTTCCTCTACTTCCTCCTCCTCCTCCATCACCACTTCCTCTCTCTTCCCTCTCCTCAACCTCCCTCTCTCTCCACCTCTTCCGCCTTCTTTACCCTCTCCACTCCCACCTCCACCTCCACCTCTCCCTCCATTCCACCTCCACCTCCACCTCTCCCTCCATTCCACCTCCACCTCTCTCTCCCTCTCTTCCTTCACTTCCACTTCCACCTCCACCTCCACTACCTCCACCAGACAGTGAAGAGCTTCCCACCCAGAGCACACGAGGGAGACCCCCTCCCCTTCCCCAATTCCCTCTTTCCCCCTGCCCCATCCCTCCTCTTTCGACCTTCACCCCATTCCCCTCCCCCTCTTTCCACCCTCCCCTTCCCCCATCCCTCTTAACTCCCTCCCCTTCTCCCCTCCCCCTCTTTCCACCCTCCCTTCTCCCTTTCCTCCCTCACCCCCTCCCCTTCAACCTCACCTCCTCCCCTTCTCCCCTCCCCCTCTTTCCACCTTCCCTTTCCCCCTTTCCCCCCTCACCCCCTCCCCTTCCCCATCACCTCTCTTTATCCCTTTCCCCTCTTTCCAACTTCCCCTTCCCCCTTCCCTCTCAACCCCCTCCCCTTACCCCTTCCCCCTCTCACCCCCCTCCCCCATTCTCCCCACCTCCGCGTCACGCCTAAGACCCTCTAAGTCGAGTGTTTTTTTCGTTTTGTTTTGTTTTTCCTCCGTCGATTGCCTCGTCCCCTTTTCTATCCCTCTCTTTCTTCTTCTTTTCTTCCTCTCCCTCGTTCGTATCCCTTTTTTGTCCTCCTCCCTTCTTCCTTCTCGCTCTCACTCTCTTCTCCCTCTCTTCCGTCCCTCTCACACTTTGCAATACACCCTAATTTCCATCTCTTTAACTCCTTCAACCACCTCCCTCTCGCCTCCCCCCCCCCACCTTAAACACCCCCTCGCTCCCACTCAACCCCCCCCACCTCCAACATCCTCTCTCACCACCCCTATCTCCCCTCCCCCCCCTCCCCCCAACATCCTCTCTCACCACCCCTGTCTCCCCCCTCCCCCCCTCTCCTCCCAACATCCTCTCTCACCACCCCTATCTCCCCCCCCCTCCCCCCCCACCAAGCTCTCTCACCACCCCTATCTCCCCTCCCCCCCCTCCCCCCAACATCCTCTCTCACCACCCCTATCTCCCCTCCCCCCCTCCCCCCCAACATCCTCTCTCACCACCCCTATCTCCCCTCCCCCTCTCCCCCCCAACATCCTCTCTCACCACCCCTATCTCCCTTCCCCCCCCTCTCCCCCCAACATCCTCTCTCACCACCCCTATCTCCCCCCCCCTCTCCCCCCCAACATCCTCTCTCACCACCCCTATCTCCGCCCCCCATCCCCAACATCCTCTCTCACCACCCCTATCTCCCCCCTCCCCCCCTCCCCCCAACATCCTCTCTCACCACCCCTATTTCCCCTCCCCCCCAACATCCTCTCTCTCACCACCCCTACCTCCCCCCCCCCCCCATCCCCAACATCCTCTCTCCCCCCCCCCTATCTCCCCCCCCCCCTCCCACCAAGCTCTCACAAAACACCGATAAACTCAATTTCCATTCTTCTTCCGCGGCTTCCATCGCTCGCCTCCGCCGCTGCTGCTTCATCTCATATTCCATGAATATCTTGGTTTTCCCTGACCTTCCAGACCTCGCTTTTCCTCTAATCAGATTGGATTTATTTATGCTCTATTGTTTATATATATATATATATATATATATATATATATATATATATATATATATATATATATATATATATATATATATATATGTATATATATATATATATATATATATATATATATATATATATATATATATATATATACATATATATATATATACATATATGTATATGTATATATATATATATATACACACACACACACACACACACACGCATACACACACACACACACACAAGTACACACACACACAAATGTGTGTGTGTGTGTGTGTGTGTGTGTGTATGTATGTTTATTTAGATATATTATATTTATTTTCATATATTATATTATACATATATGTAATTATATGAATACACATATAACTAAACATATAATCATATATATATATATACATACATACATACATATATATATATATATATATATATATATATATATATATATATATATATATTTATATATATATATATATATATATATATATATATATATATATATATATATATACATATATATATATATATATATATATATATATATATATATATATATATATAGAGAGAGAGAGAGAGAGAGAGAGAGAGAGAGAGAGAATCACCTATGTCTCTATATACACTTAATCCACACAACCATACGAAACCTTTGACCGCAAGCCTTTGTGTCTCGCTCAATGAAACCGGCTTAGCAACACCCCCCCCCCCACCCATACCCATACCCCTCCTCCCCCTTTCTTCCCCACCCTCGGTAACTCGTGCAGCACAAGGCAATTTGCTCCTAATGTACTTCAACCCCAACTCTCACACTCCGGATTCTCTCGTGAAAAGAAACGGCAAAATAACCCTTACGTCCCCCCCCCCCCCCCCTCTCCTCTTCAACCCCCCCTCCCCTCCCCCCGTCTCTACCCTACCCCCCTCCCGACATTCTCTGGCTCCCCCTGTGTCTCCTGCTTCCTTCGCTTTATCTTGCTCTTCGTATCTCCTCCTCCCCATCCTCCCCAATACTCCTCACTTCCTCCCCATCTTCCCCAATTCTCCTCTCTTCCTCCCCATCTTCCCCAATTCTCCTCACTTCCTCAATTCTCCTCTCTTCCTCCCCATCTTCCCTTACTCCCCTCACTACATCCTCGCTACCTCCCCATCTTCCTCAATTCTCCTCACTCCCTCCCCACCTCCCCTCCGTCTTATTACTCTCCTTCCAACCCCCACCTCCCCCACCCTCCCTGTCTCCCCACCCCCCTCCTCTGTCACCCTCCCACCACCTCCCCCCCGTCGGGACAGGTGAGAGAGAGAGAGAGAGAGAGAGAGAGAGAGAGAGAGAGAGAGAGAGAGAGAGAGAGAGAGAGAGAGAGAGAGAGAGAGAGAGAGAGAGAGAGAGAGAGGCCCTTGAAGTGCGCTGACGACGAGGCAAATCTCAGCTCAAGACACCGTTGCTTTTCGGTCGGATTTGGTCTCATAGGATTCGGTCTCATGATATTCGGTCCCATAGGATTCGGTCTCATACGGAGTTCCCAGCCTTGTGGACCGAATGGCGTAGTAGTATTATACGTGAGTCCGTTATATCAAGGGCGTTATACCAGTGCCGGTATACCAAGAGCGTTTTATCAAGGTCGTTGTACCATGATCCTTATACCAAGAGCGTTGTATCAAGGCCGTTGTATCGAGTGTATTAATTCAGCGTTAAATGGGCAGGTTGGAATCCGTGTCAAATTTACATACAAGAACTGTCGTTTTCAGATTTACAGTGTAGTGCCTTTTTATACAATCTATTATGGATTTAGAGCACACTGGAAAGATTTGTGTATGTATTTATGTGTGTGTGTGTGTGTGTGTGTGTGTGTGTGTGTGGGTATATATATGTATGTATATATATATATATATATATATATATATATATATATATATATATATATATATAGAGAGAGAGAGAGAGAGAGAGAGAGAGAGAGAGAGAGAGACAGAGAGAGAGAGAGAGAGAGAGAGAGAGAGAGAGAGAGAGAGAGAGAGAGATAGAGAGAGAGAGGGTATAGGTAGGGTCCCAAGTTTATCTTAGAAGAAAAATGTTTGGTTTTAAATTTCGCGAAATGTTATGATTTGTGATATTCTAAGAACATTGTTGTACACCCTACATCTAAAAAAAAAATCTGATAAACATAACATTTAAACTCAAAGGACAAAAAGAAATAACTATTTTTATGTTACAAAGGAGAAAGACTACGGGAGAAAAAAAACGAAAATAATGAAATCTTACTTACCAGGTAGAGAGCAGAGATGAATTCGCGGTTGGATTAGTCAGTCCTAAAAAAAAAAGAAAAAAAAAGATATTAGCACAGCATGAATTCCACCTACAAACAAAACCTCGTTACTTTTCATCATTTCATCATTTATTTTCCGTATTGATTCATTTATATAGTCACTTACACAACTAGTTTCAGCAAGAATGATTAATCAAATTAAATAAATAACAGATAAACGTTAAATTAACACCTAATTCAACAAAAGAAAAGAAAAAATGTACGTAACCCCTCTCTGTATACGGCGAAAGAATACAGCTTTACGCATTATTCTCGGATTAAATTTGCAGATTCGTTTCCAACTAATGAATTTATCCGACAACTTACTCAAGAAGTTTATAAAAAAAATAGATTAAGTAGATATCACATAAACGTCAGTATGACACTAACTTCTACCAAAAAATGTCAGTGTCTACGTAATGTAAGTGGGTACGTATCCCCTCTCTGGTATTCATTCGCCCATCGCAAACTTCGAAACAGAATTTGAAAGATAGCAGAAGAGAGCGTTGCGCATAATTTTCGGATCAAACTTAAGCGTCATATCCGAAGTTCATTGAAGTTCCGTGTATCCCAAATGAGATAAATCAACTGAACATTACGTCCCTGCAAGATTGGAATGAGCTTTTGACTATTTTTTTTTATCAAGTTTGCCAATTACACGGTAACATGAACATGGTGATGGTAATGTTAAATTCTGCGAAACAATATGCAAGTCAGACTGATATCATATGTCTACTGTTTCGTTCGGTATTAGATATTTAAATGACATATTTAGATAACTAATACTTTATAAATAAATTCAATGGTGACTTCCTTCTTAATCTAACAATGTTGCAAAGAAATTTATTATTATTATTGTTAAAAAGTAAATTAACAAAGCTGTCATTACAATTATGATTAATTGATGATGATAAAGAAAGTTATTATCATCATCATCATCATCATCATTATCATCATCGTTATCATCATGATCATTATCATCTTTATGTTTTTTAATGATACTGATAATGATATGATGACGACAATGATGATAATGATAAGATATTAATTATATTGATAATAATGATAATAATGGTGATGATAATAACGTTCGTACTAATATTCAATGACAATGAGAATAAGGATGATGATGACAATGATGATGATGATAATGATGATGATATCGATGATAATGTTAGGAAGGCTAATAATTACGATAACGATAATAACAACAGTTATAATGATAATAACAATAACAAGAACAATAACAAAGTAAAGAATACAATGTTCGGTATCAAGAGAATCATCCAGAATTATCCATTTTAAGAGAATTCCCCATAACTAACATTTCGAAATATCAAGTGAAGCCTTTCTCAAAATTCCTAATTGCAGCATTATCTTCCAGTGAATATGTCTATCTTTATCCAATCAATCTCACTCTGGTATTTACACAAGCGTGTGACGTAATGCCGAAGGAACAAAAAAAGAAGGAAAATTCCCAAGAAAAAAAAAAAAAACGAAAAAAAAAACACTAACTCCCTCAGCGTCTGATGGTAAACAATCGAGTCTCACTGTAACACGAAACCGTCAACCTATAAAGTAAAATCAACAACAATCAGTTTGGGTTGTTTAGGTGGCCGGGCGCGTGAGGACCGTCTCTCTTGGCCAAGGGAGAGAAGTGTGGACTATCTTTCTCCTTTTTAGAAGAAAAATAGGTAGGTAGGTTTTCTCTTTCTCTTTCATAATGTGCTTTTGTTTTCTGATGAGGGCGTTTTCTTTTCTGGAGAGAGAGGGGGATAAATATTATTTGTGAGACTCTTCTTTTTCCCCTTGAATATAGGTAGTTTTCTTCCTCTTTAAATATGGGATTCATATTATACTTTTACTATACTAGTATACTATCACCATTTTCTTATTTCTTGTATGTTATTACTTGTATACTATTATTGTACTATTACTAATATGCTATTCCTAGTATATTATTCCTAGTCTACTATTACCAATATGCTATTACTAGTATAATTCTAGTATACCATTACCAATGCCCTTTTATTAGTACACTACTCCTAGTAAACCATTACCAATATACTATTTCCAGTATAACTTTTAAGATTTTTTTCAGCTCTCACGCAATGGGTGACAAAACCAGATTGCATATAATCATTCGATAATATTTTCACCCCAACGGCCACACCAGCGCCAGCATCACGGACATGGTTTTGGATAATCCATCATAGAGCACCAGGTTCCTAGACGTGCAGAGGAAACACCGAGGAACCTTATCAAAACTTTTCGTGACAGGTTTCACTCGACAAAACCTCTGTTGCCCACATTCACACGTATATATGTACGTGTAAGTAGATTCAGTCACTATATATACACAGATACACGCTTATACCGCAGACCCAATACATAGACACACACAGACACACACACACACACACACATACACACACACACACACACACACACACACACACACACACACACACACACACACACACACACACACACACACACACGCACACACACACACAGACTACTCCTCGATTCCCAGCGATGGTACAGACGAGTCTCGATGCAGCATCCCTTCCTCTCACCCTAACAAGGATAACTGAAGGGTACCTCTTGAGTCACTCTACCGAACGCCCTAAGAATCACGAGAGAATCTCTATAGTTCTTGAGTGCCGCCTTCGTTGATGAGCAAAGTCCCGGCGTTTTGAAGATGGAGAAACGGCTTTCATATCATATAAGCGTGAAAGGTTTGCTGATGAGCGAAATCTCGATATTTTGAAAACGGATGATATTATGATTTGCTTCAATTGTGTTTTGTTTGTTAAGTAAAATCTGGATATATTGATATATTCGCCCAAGTGTGGATTGTTTATTAATGAGCAAAATATCGATACGTTGAAGATAGAGAAACTGGTTAATATTATCTAAGAGCGACATGATTATTGATGAGCAAAAACTCCAACATTTTGCAAAGGAAAACGTACTGTAATAACACTGATTCCTTTAGCGTAAAGATGTTTCTTGATGGATAAAATTTCGAAATTTTGAAGACGGAGAAACTACTTTAACATTATGTAAGCATGAAATATTTGCTGGTGAGTACAATTTCAACATTTTGAAGTTGGAGAAACCACTTTAATATCATTTTTTGCTCAGGTGTGAAATATTTGATGGACAAATCTCAGTATTCTGAAAAGGGAGAACGAACCCAAATATCGTTCCTTTTTATGAGTAAATCTTAGTATTTTGAGGCTGAAAATGGAGAAGTCGCCTTAACACTATATAACTCTGCTATTTGTTATAACTATGTATCGCTATGTTAGTGCCTCGTGTACATCTATTAATGACAAAACAGTCAATAATCATTTGTAAAACGGATGAAATATCACAGAACTTTATGAATAATGATTTTGTTTGGGACTATAAATCTTTGGCGAAAACTGCAAAATTATGTCATTTCTACCAACCGACCATGACTGAATGGACTATATTTCGCCGTTTTATTCAGAGTTTTAACTTACAGATGAATAGTCTGGAATTTTATATGTCCAGTTGTTTTATGTAAATATATGATGTGCTTTGATATATGTCTGTAAACTACGTTTTGTGTTTAGCCATGTGTCTATTGTGGATATAATGTCACACACGTAGAGAGGTATACAAATCATAAAATAATGAAAAAATATATAGACGTGGGGAACATGTAAACATATACAATATATGCAAATATATAAATAGATAGTTTGATGAAATATATATAACGCGCTCACCTATTCCCACATACATACACAGACATACAAACACACACACAAACGTACAGATAAGAACACACACACACACACACACACACACACACACACACACACGCACGCACGCACGCACACACACACACACACACACACACACACACACACACACACACACACACACACACAAACACACACACACACCCACACACACACACACACACACACACACACACACACACACAAACACACACACACACACACACACACACACACACACACACACAAAAGACACACACACAAACGTGCAGACGATAACACAAAAACAAACACACACACAAAAAGGACACTCACCCACCCACCCACACACACACACACCTACACACACACACACACACACACAGAATCCCCCCCCCACACACACACACACATTCAGATCCCCCCCCCCCACATAGACACATACATTCATACATATAAATAAAACTTTTCCCATTCCCCTTGCCTATTCTCTGCCTCTTCCTCGCAACGATTATTTTCTCTTTCTCCTAATTACCGAAGCAGCAAAATAAGGAGAAGGGAAGAAAAGACGGAGAAAGTAGTAAAAAAGAAGAAGGAAAGGACAAAGAACGCAAAAGTAGAAAAGGGGAGAAGAAGAAACAGAGACGTAGATGAGGAAGAAAGAAGAGAGGCCGGGAAGAATAGTAAGAGGAAGAAAGAGAAAAGGCGGAGAAATAGAAAAGAAGAAGAAAAGAAGAAAAAGAGAAGAAAAGACGTAGACGTAGATAAAGAAGAAAAAAAGATGTCACGGAGAAGTAGAAAAAAAGGAATAAAAAGGCGGAGAAATAGAAATAAAGAGAGAAAAAGCAAAACTACAGATTCTGTTTTCAAGAAGCTGATGTATAGACAAGTTGATAGATAGATAAATAAATAGATGCGGATAGATATATAGATAAACAGACTGACTGACGTATGTGTGCGTGTAGCCTTCATATGCGTGTGTATGCCTCCCACATTAACCAACTCGGGCGAAGGGAAAAGGACTGCTGACGTCATTGATATCTTGCAAGGATTCCCTGCAGTTGCAATATCACGACACGGCTGAGCGGACTAGAGAGGCGGCATCTGATTCCTCAAGGGATCGAGGCACATCTAAGTGCATAACAGCATTACGAAAGGAATCCAAACGTCGTCACATAACAGGATCGTGATATAAAACAAAAACGCATCACTTTCAGCTACGATTGGGTTATGTCACCGATGAACG